TTTAGAATACTGTGAAAAGGTTTCCCAGTGTGGCTGTACCTCTTTACATTTTTTTACTAGCAATGCATGAGTGATTCGATTCCTTTACATCCTGGCCAATATTTGGTGGTGTTACTATTTTTTAAACATTTTCACCATTCTGATTGGAACATAGTGATAGCTAATTGTTGCTTAATTCACATTTCCCTAATGGTTTATGAAGTTGAAATCTTTTTACATGCATTTTTGCTATCTGTACATCCTCTTCAGTAACATGTTTGCTCATATCAATTTTCTAGTTGAATTATTTTGCTTTTACTACTGAGTATTGAAAATCCTTTATATTGTAGATCCTAGTCCTTTGTCAGTTATGTGGCTTGCAAATATTTTCTTTCAGTCTGTACATTTTTTATCCTCTTAACAGTGCATTTTGCAGAACAGAAGTTTTTAATTTTAATGAGGTCTAATTTATCAACTTTTCCTTTAATGAATTATGCTTTTGATATCATCTAAGAATTATTTGTCTAGTCCTAGATCCTGAAGACTTTCTTCTATTGTTGTGAAATGTTTTATATTTTACATTTAAGTCTATTATCAATTTTGGACTAATTTTTGTATAAGATGTGAGGTTAAGGTTGATGTTCTCTTTTTCTTTTTGCCTATGGGTGCTCGCTGCTCCAGCACAACTTACTGCAAGGCTATCCTTCCTTCACTGAATTACTTTTGCACTTTTGTTACAAATTGATTGGAAAACAATCAGTTGGAAATACTTATATGGGACTATTTCAGTGTTTTCTATTCTGTTCCATTGATCTTTGTCCATGCCTTGGCAAATAGCACACAGTCTTGATTACTGTTACTGTATTATAAACCTTAATATCAGGTAGACTGATTCCTCTCACCTTATTCTTCTTTTTAGATTATCTTAGATATTTTAGGGTTTGTGCTTTTCATATAAATTTTAGAATAGTCTAGCCAATGCCTACTAAAAACTTCCTTGAATTTTGATAAGAATTGTCTTATACATACAGATTACTTTGAGGCAAACTGACATTTTTACTATGCTGTCTTCCAATTTGTGACTATAGTATGTCTCTCTGTTTATTTGTCATCACTGATTTCTTTCATCAGCATGTGCAATTTTCAGCATCAGATAGTATACATCTTTTTTGCTAAGTTTATACCTCAGTATTTCATTTTCCTTGGGTTGATTGTAAATGTGTTTTAATTTTGGTTTTCATATGTTTATTGTTACTACAGTAATTCTCACATAATGCCATTGCTAGGTTCTTAGAAACTGTAATTTTAAGTGACATGATGTATGGCAGGTCCTGAAATAATGTAGTTTTGCTCAACATCACTTTGTTATAACTTTGATGATGAAAAATTGGGTTTAGTTTTATGTTGTTTTGCTTAAAGTCAGTTTCCAAGAACCTATTGATGATATTAAGAGAGAGAGGACTTACTGTATATAGAAATGACATTGGTTCCCATCTTGATCTTATATCCTGTGATCTTGCTGAAATCACTTCTTAGGTTCTTGGAGTTTTATTGTTGTATAATCCATGGAATTTGCTAAATAGACAATCATGTCATCTGCACATGAGGACCATTTTAATTCTTCCTTTTGAAACTGTATGCTTTTTATTTTTTTTTCTTTTTCTGTTTCCAACCTGCCCCCATTTCAGTGGCTAGAACTTCTAGTATTATGTTGAATAGGAGTGGTGAGAACTGAATCTTTGCCTTGTTCCGTATCTTAGAGAAAAGCATTCTGTCTTTCAGCATTAAGAATGACAGCTGTAGGTTTTTTTAAAAAATGAACTTTATTTTTTACAGCAAGTTTAGGCTCACAGAAAATTGAGTAGAAGGTACAGAAATTGCTCACATATCTCCTTTCCCCACACATGTATAGCTTCCCTCCTTATCAACATTCACCACCAGAGTGGTATATTTGTTATAATTGATGAAAATACTCAAGGTTTTTAAAGATACTCTTCATTAAGTTGAAGTAATTCCTATCTATTCCTAACTTGTTGAGAGTTTTTAATTACAAACGAATATTGGATTTTATCAAGTGCTTTCTCTGCATTAATTGATATAATCATCTTCTTTAGCCTGCTAATTCTTCCTCCTCATCCTGTTAATTTGGGGGCTTATGATGATGAGGTTTGCTATGAAAATTGAGTCTTGGTGGAAAGCCAGGTGTCAGTCATGAAGTATTATAAATGAAATTCAAAGGAATGGATTCATAATATATAGTACAGGAATTCCGTACTGTACATTAAAATTGAGTGGCAGTCAGTGGAATTAAGTATGAATTCTTAATAAATAATAGTACAGAAAAGGATGCATGTATGTTGCATTCTGGAGCAAAGAGGAATGTATTGCCTAATGAGAAACAAAAGCCACTGTTTTCTAGGATTCACTGTGCCTTAAGCATAGTGACCTCATTTCAATAACGAGTACTGCATAATAATACTTCTTCAACTTTACAGGGACCTACAATCTATTAATTCTATCTCATTTCCACTATTTTTTACCTTCCACTCCTCTTATCCCTATTTTCCTTCAAATTCAGTTTTGATCATGGTCCATGTTTATAATTGTTCCCCTGCCAATATCCTTTATCTCCTTTGTCCCACTCTTCTCTGGTTGTAGTTGCTTGATCCTCAATCCTATTAAATCCACCTCCCCAACTACTCCAGGCCTGCACACACATGCGAAAATTGGTTTTAGAGAAAGTTCAAATTTGTGACCACCAATATCATATGAGCATTTACGCCCAACAATCCTAAGGGCCAGCATTTTCATTATCTATGTTCTACTTATGCATCCCCTTGGATTAGTATATCCTTTTCATTTTTTCTCTTCAAACCTTTAACACCTTCTTCCTCATCTTCACTCAGCTGATTTTTGCTTCCCACTTTATTGAGAAAATAGAAACAATAGAAAAGAAAAGAATGTTCACAAACATCCACTACCACAGGTACCCATCTTCCTACTGGTTCCTACAGATGAATTGCCTGACCTCAAACAAAGATGCTTTTCTTCTAGAACCCATCCCCTCTCACCTGTTATAGGACAAGATTCCAACAAATCCCTTTCTTTCTTGCATCAAGATTTTCTCTATTAGTAGATCACTTCTATTAGCATACAAACATACTATAATTAACTCTCCCCCCATCCAAAAGTGATGTGCCTTTCTCTATCACTCTTTAAAGAAAAGCCCCTGGAAATACTTGTCTGTACTCTCCACGTACTACTGCTCTTTTTCCATTCACTCTTGAACCTTCTTCAGTTAGGTATTTTCCTCCAACACTCCAACACTGAGCCTGTTCATGTGAGGGTCACTAATGACTCGCACAATGCCAAAGATAATGATCACTTCTTGGACCACATATTCTTGACTATTCGCAATACTGACAGAAAAATCTTGATCTTCCCTTCAAATTTGCCCCTCCCTAAGCTTTTGCCATCTTCATAAATTGGGAAGTGGTTTCACCAATAACCAATCCCAAGAGAGGACTTCCACTCTGTGGAGGACAGCAGAGATTATCATCACTGCGTCAACCACAGGGAACAGGAGTCTGAACACTTCTGTCCACTGCGTCCTCGGCTGCAGTGTTACCAATTCCCTGAGTCTGAGACAGAACACACTCATATGCAACACATTATATGCAGCAAGTTAATTACTTACAGATAAGCAGCAAGAAACAAAAGAAGCCTGTGATCCATTGTGAGTAGGTTCCCCAAGGTTTGAGAAAGCTGCCTTGAACAGATGGAGTCTTGATTGTGCTTGCTTCTGTTGCACCACAGCTGAGGAACCTGGAGAGGCAGCCTGCCACCACAGGGGTAGTGTGACTCAGTGAATAAGCTTTGGAGGTGATCTTCCTTCCCAGGAGAGAGGAACAATCCCAGGGCTGTCCCAGGCAGTTCCTCTTTAACTTGAGATGTTACATTCCCTAGGAAGTACAGGAATAAGGTCCAGGCTGTTTCAGGCAGTTCCTCCTTATCTCAGGACATTGCATTCCCAGCACATTCTACAGTTATTCTTGGTAACTATAAACAAGAAAGGGGGAGAATTGGGTGGGTCCAGGGCCATTTGGGGAACTGTCCTGCGATAATGTCAACTTCATCCATCTAGCTGCTCAGATCAAACATCCTGGTATCAACCTTGAGGTTTCTCACCTACACGCCATGTATAATCCTTCAGCAAAACTCAATCACTTCTCACGACCCCACTACTACCACCCTTATCCAAGCTACAATCATCTCTTGCATGGATTATTTCAATTACCCTCTTTTTTATTTTTCAGTGAATTTTCATCAAATCTACCAGAAGGACTTTTCTGAAACCTACAATAGGTCATGTAATTCCTCAGGTCAAAAGTTGACCATCCATCAACTTTCATGGCTCTTTCCAATTGAAAGTCAACATTTATCAGTTGCTTTCCATCATTTAGTAGAAGTCAAAGTACTTACAATAGCCTACAAAACCTTATCCAGTCTTGGCTCCCCATTATTTTTCCAACCCTACCTACTTTTCCTTTTTTCCTATCTTACTCCACTCTGGCCACCTAGACCTGCTTGCCATATCTCAGATACCAGCGACATTCCTGTATCAATTCCTTTGCTTTTGTTGTTCCCTCTTCCCCAGATATCAACATACCACTTCCTACAGATCCTTGTTCAAATTTGAGGGCTTCCCTAATGATCATATTTAGTATTGTAACCCTTCTTCCTGGGCCCAGCACTCCTTATCTCCTTGTTCTTCTCCCTATCTATTTTACTTCATTTTTAAAATATTTGTCTGTTTCCCCTATTACAATGCAAATTCCACAAGATTAGTAGTTTTAATCTGTTTTGTTCACTATGCCAAAAACAGTACCTGGCACACAGTTGTTGCTTAATAAATATTTATTGAATAAATGAATGAATGAATGAATAGCAGAGATGACAACCTCCTTTGGACAAGTTTCCAAAGAGAAGCCTTGTGGTCTAACTTGCTTGCATTAGTTACCATGTTGAAAAGAGATTGCTGTAAATTGGGGAACACATCTGAGCCCCTTCCTGTGGTACACAGAATATCTAAAGGAGAGCTGCAGTCCTGTGAGAGATGTGGAGAAGATCCTGGGCCAGAAGAACAGACCCAGGCTCTCATCAGCACAGAGATGAAGCTTACTGAAAATGGCTCCACTGGTGAAAGCAAACAGCACTCATACCAGCTATGCCTGAACATGGCATCATGTGAAATGACCAGTAAGTGCAGTATGCAGTTTTAGTTCCAATAGTTTTTTATTGTGGGAATCTCAGAGGGAATTATGACATTGGGAATCATTTTCATGAGGCCACAAATAGTGCTGCCAAGTGGCTTAATTTTTAAAATCATCTTTGTTGTAATTGTTGTCATCTTTATGATTATCCTTTCATAATTATTGGAGTGATTATGAGGAGAAAAGCACCAGGCTATCTAATACGAGTTGAACATCCTTAATCCAAAAATCTGAAATCTGACGCTCCAAAATCCAAGACTATTTGAATGCCAACATGATGCACTCCAGGTCACAAGTGTAAAATTCCACACCTGACTTTAGGTAATGGGTCACAGTCAAAACAGTCAAAACTTTGTTTCATGCACAAAACTATTAAAAAATTATATTAAATTACCTTCAGGCTATGGTGTTTAAAGGGCATATAAAACATAAATGAATTTTTTGTTTAGACTTGGGTCTCACCCCTAAGATATCTCACTATGTATATGCAAATATTCCAGAATTTGAAATCCAAAACACTTCTTGACCCCAGCATTTAGAATAAGGGATTTTTGACATTTCCCAAGTTTCTGTGAGTTAGATTCAGGCTAGAGAGCTAAAATATCTCTCCCAATATAACTTGGGGTCATTGTTTCGCAGATGCTTTAGATGGATGAATATTGCCGGAGATTTTAGACAATCTGGTGGTTACTGTCTTCTTTCTACCTCCCCTTTTATTACTAAAGAATGGTAGTCAAGGTAATTTGAATTTAGATCTTCTAAAGTTCTTTCTCTTTTAATAACTTCACACATTCCTGACAAGTGCTGTTTAGAGTGGCAGACTGTTACAAAGCCCTGACTTAATGCAGAGGAAGATGGTTGAGAAAATAAAAAAGTTTAAAAAGGGGAACGTTTACACCCTGATTTTCTTTCATGTTTCAAGTGAGGAGTTTGAATACTTTAGATTATAGGGGCAAGAAAATTTGCTGGAGGTCCACTTCTCTTTAATAAATTTTAAGAACAGTTTAAATCTCTGGTCCAAAGAAGGGGAAAATAGTGATGAAGAGGAAGAGGGAGGAGAGACAGCTGGGTAGAAGATGAGGGTGCAGAAGGGTAAATGTGTAGTTATTCTCTTCTCTTGTCTTACCAGATGCTACTTAACCTATTTGTCATGAGGATGAGCAGGATGAGGCAAACTACTTTATGTTCAGAATAGGTTCTTCCAGTTGGGTGAGTGCGGCTTCCAAAAATAAAGGAGAGTAGGAAGGAAGGTAAGAAAATGAAAGAAAATAAAAGATAAAAGTAGTGCAGAAGGTATTCTCAAAGTATCTTCTGCTGTATTTAAAATGGGTACACAGGCTATGTGAAGGGAAAATGTGAATAAGCAAAGCTGGTACCTACACGATGCCAGCAGAGTAGACAAACCCCAAATAGTAAAACCTGTTTTGAAAAAACTGGTTGGTTGACGTTATGTAATTAGTTCATCTTCTTTTACATTTTATTGATACTGTCATTAATTTCCCATTAACGTTCCTTTCTTGGCTTGTATAACTTTAGAGTTGCAGTGAGAGCTTAAAAAAAGAATTAATAAGAATAAAGTTGGTTTTGTTTTATTTTTTTCATTTTCAAACTTACAGAAAATCTGCACGAATGAATTTAATAAATTTGCATGAATAGTATTGTGGACTCCTGAATATACTTCTCTCAGAGACCCGATTCAAGTTTTGCCAGTTGTCCTCATAATGTCTTTATAGTAAAAAGGTCCAGTTCAGGAGAAGACATTACACTCCATTGTCTGCCATGTCTCTCTACATTCTTTTAGTCTGAATGAGTTCTGCAATCTCTAGTTGACTTTCATGACCTTGACATTTTTGAAGGTCAGTTATTCAATAGAAGTTCTCCAAATTTCTGTTGTCCGATGTTTCCTCTTGATTATAACCAGGTTATAAATTTTAGAGAAGTGACATTGTGTTTTTCTCATTGCATTTGATTAAGTGACATATGATATTGATTTTTCCAATTACTGAGAGTGTTAACTTTGATCACTTCATCAGATAGTGTCTGTTAGGTTTCTCCACTATAACATTAACTTTTTCTCCCTTTGTAATTAAACATTTTGTAGAAAGATACTTTGAAGCTCTGTAAAATTCTGTTTCTCATCTCACTTTCATCCACTAATTTTAGCATTTATTGATGTCTTGCTTGAATTCCTTTTGTATTTATTACTTGGCATTCTAATTTAAGAAATAATCTCTTACCCAATCTCTTAACTGTTTATCTTCTTCCCATTTACCTATTTACTTATTATATAATTGTGGATTCATGGGTTCCTCTTTATGCAGTGGATTATAATCCCATTATTCTCATTACTTATTTTTATGCTTAAGTTTTTCCAGATTTGGTCAGTAGGAGCTCCTTCAAGGTGGCTCCTGGATTATTTGGTCATGTTCTCATTGTTTTTCTGAGAACTTTCTTACCTTCTGACCCAACATGTTCAAAGCTCCTTATTCTTCCCTTGTTCTACTTTTAGAGTCTCAATAAACTCTTGTTTCTTACAGTGGAAAGATGCATTTAGAAATCAAGACCAGGCATTAAATTTGCTCAGTGCTGCTCAGGCATTGTTGCTCCCTGGTTCCTTCAATGGATACACACAGACAGACCCTTAAATCCATGTTTATTTACATGTCATATATACTTATATATCCACTCTTCCAACTGCAATCTAATACCACATCATTCACCTCAACTTTTCCTCTTTCCATGTTTGTACCTTCTCCAGCATTAGGAAAGTGGACTCCCTGTGAGGAGCCAAGCATCTGATTCTACCAGGTCTCTGCCCTGCTCAGCAGCCCTCCCTCCATAGATCCTGATTCCCATCAAACTGCCTTCATGCCCACTCCAGCTCCCAGTTTGTGTGGACCCTGACACTCACCGGCACCCTTTCAATGGAAAGAAAGAAAAGGAAGCATTGGCATCATTTTCTAACTGACCTTTCTGCATTGGCTGCCTATTTAGGCATCACGTAAACATAGTAGTGAATTGGTAGCAGTGTTCTTAAAACAGCCGAGTTATAGCATGTGAGTATTTTATTTATTCAAATTCAACTTAATTAAAATACTGAAAATATTGTAAGATGGCACATACTTTCTATGCACATCTATATATAAATGTTGCTGTATAGGAATGGATCTGCAAAATCATGGTTTAATGCGAAGTGTACACAGTTTAGGAATTTTTTTTTCAAGTGCAAATTTGACATTAGGTACTTCTTACCTTATATGCTGATTTCAAAATCTAACTCTTCTGTCAAGTATGACTCTATCGTACAGCCTAAATTGTTTCAACATTTAGTTGAATTATTTCTCCAGGAGAACCATCATTTGGTTTCCAACAAGGAAGCTGAGAGGATCACACACTGATTCTAGAACACATTATTTATTCAGGAAAAATGATGCAGTTCTTTTTGGTAGACAATCCTCTCTAAAATGTAGATTAATGCTCTGGTGACAAGTTTCTAGACTAGAGCTAGGGAAGAGTAGGGTCTTGGCTGTGGGACCAACTCCAGTAGAGTGGCTCACTGGGAGCAACTGGACATGGGAGCAACAACACCTGAGCAGCAATGAGCAAATTCAATGCACAGTCTTGATTTATAAATGCATTTTTCCACTATAAGAAATAAGAGTTTATTGAGACTCTAAAAGTAGAACAGGGGAGGAATAAAGTCAAAGGAGGCCAAGCTGAAGAGCACCCTTATCAGGTATGCAACCAAAAGAGTGCTGGGCAAGGAAGAGGACACAAGCTTTAAATGAGAGAAGGGAGTAGTAAGGGCCAAGAAGCTGATGATAAATACGACCAAATGGAGCCTTCATTCATTCGAAATATGCATATGAAGAACAGTATGTCTCAGAATCTTTGCTTGCTCTGTGGATACAGAAATGAACATATGTGTTTCCTGCCCTCTAAGAAACTTTCATTCTAGTAGAAGAGAATCATGCCAATAGTTACAAGGTATCTCAAGAGTCTTGCTATAGTCTTTAGATCTGTGAATTTTGACAGCCGTTGGTAAATTACTTTCCATAAGGCTTATACCAAGTTATAGAGTTGGAAGTCATTACTAGATACTACTTTTTACAGCCCTTTCACACAGTATTTTATGTATTTGAAAGGTACAGTTTAAGAAAGATTTAGATTAAAATTTTAGATATTTCCCCTCCCCTGCCTTTCTTTCCTCTTCTTGAGATGTTAAGTAAGTATGAAGGAAGCAGATAATGATTTTCTGAGAAAAAGTCAAAGTGCTTACTAGTTGTATTTTCCCAGATCTTGATGGTACTGGACTGGACTCCAAAGGGTATAGAAAATTATCTTTCAGTTAAAGCACTAACTTTCATTTAGTGTTCATCAACTACACAATTTTAGAACAGCTTTTGAGTAAATGAACGTTATTAAGTTTAGTGTAAAGTTGTCTGGACTTTACAAAACCAGGCAGTCATAACAAACTTTTCTGCAGGTGGAAATGTGGCTGGCAGCGACATATTTGAGGATTTAAATAAATGATAAATTACTCTTGGTGATTATAAATAATAAGCAATGCTATCTGTGATATTTGCCTACTGCAGAAGTTTGGCTTTTGAAAATGGAATTCAGCTACTTTCCCTTTACTTTTAGATATTTATTGTTCATTAGTGAGCTCTCTTTTATAGCTGCTAGTGGACCTTCTTTTGCTGCTGACATGCTTTCAGTTCCATAGAGTTTGTGGGCAAAACGGTATTAGAAAAGCAAGTAAATCATCCTGATGTTCTATATATTACCTTGGCAAATAATTCTTTGGGCAAGAGCTCTAGACTAATAAATGAGAGCATGTGGATAATTTGGAATTGTTTCTTTTTTAGAATCAATAGCCTGGGAATTGAAAAATTCAAAGTGCTCTTCCATGGCATTATTGTTTGAATTAATTTTTTACAAAACAATTTCAGTTCATTTGGAACTGACTCTGTGTCTCTTCAATTT